AAGACCCTCCGTGAAGAACTCAAAGATGCCAGCGAGGGGAGGCCCAAGTGCCTCTGCCAGCCTCAAAGCAAGTCATCTTTTAATTCCAAAACAGCAAATATTTAATTTATGCTCTACCTCAAATGTCAAGTCCACCTCCCGGCACATAGCTTTGAAACCACGTAAGGAGGCCTAACACTTTCCATATGCTGAAGACACGGGGCTTTTTAATTGTGCCAACTGGTATCATTCAAGGGTAATTCCCCGGGAATCCGGCACTCGGGCAGCAGCTGGGCCGGCCTCCAACCTCAGCGCCCAGCCCCACAGGGACCCGCGGGCTCCAACCGGGCCTGCGCCCTCCCAATCTTCCCTAAATACCAAAATGCACTAGGTGTCCCCTAATCAAATTTCCCAACTGCCCGGCAGCCACCTTTGCTCCAGCAGCAGCCTTGCCTGCACCGGGCTCAGGCTCCCTTCAGGCCTCTCACAGAACAAAGGGGCCAAACGGGGGCGGGGAGGCGGTCGTCTTAAATCCGTGAGCGGGCACAGCCACACGGGCTGCTACTCCAAGTATGGTTCTATCTATGTCTCTACGTCATTAAGCTTTCTTATTTCACCCATTATAGTGTCCAGACCCAGAATTTCCAACTGGTTTTCTTTTGTAGTGCCTGTTGCTGCTTCCCATTTCCAAGACTATCCCCCCATCCCTTTCAGATTTCGATGCTTATTTTAATTTCTCATGGTGGAGCCCCTTGCTGTCAGGCCCAGGAGCTGCTCACTCGATTGCTCCTTTCGTAGCACTTGTATACCTCGCGTTCCTCATCGTTTCTCTCCCCTGAGCTCATGTCCCCTTGGAGTTCACCCTGAACCCACAGAGAGGACAGAAGCCACAGCCTTAGCCTGTGTCCCTCCAGGTGAGCCCACAGTGTATGGGGCAGGGGGACTCTGCTTTCATAAGCTGGGCCCCCCATCTCCACCAGTGTCTTAGCGAGCCTCCCCGTTTTAGAGTTACCTGCCAAAACCAGGCTGGGGATAAGAATGTTCTTATGCCCATTTTACAGGCGCGCTTCTGAAGGTATACAAAGGTACAACGGCCTGTACAGGTGACAAGCTCTGGTGGCAGAGCCTGGCCTCGTTTCGTTTTGCATTCAGGAAGACAGGCTTAGGTCAGTGCCAACGAGGTCACCCTCCGACACCCCAGGGCCTTGCATGTGACTTGCACCCACCCACCTGAACATTAAGAAGCTATCAAGACCCCGTCAGGGAGGAAGAGGGCAAGCAGCGGCCCCTCCTGCTTCTGTGCACCCCAAAACCTGCCTCACCCCGAAGCACTCGCAGCTGGCAGGCTGCTACCCCTCTGGGAAGTAGTAGGTGAGGCCCTCCCGGGCAGATGCTCCGGCACAGGGCTTCGCCACACGTGGTGGCTGCCGTTGTTCTAGAAAGTGCTCCGGAGAGGGAGAAAAAGAGTCCCCACCAGCTGGCTGGTAACTTTACAGGGGTATGAGGAGGATTAAGATAATGTAAGCAAAGCGCTCGACACGGACAGGCACTTAATAAACAGTCGTTATCATTGCAATAATAATAGTAATAATAACAATAATAAGAGAACCACTAAGGTGCCCTCGGACACTTTGGTGAAAGGCTGGGGAAGGGGCTGAGACAGAGCCCATTCCAAGGCAGCCTGGGGCTGG